TTGGAGCTGGAGGTGACGGTGGTCGCAGTGGTTGCTCGCGCGGCGTGTCGTCGGGTGGTGGTTAGAGTGACGGGCGCTGCCAGTACCAGCTCCAGACCGGTCCTCGCTGCGGCCTCGTGTGCGTTAAGATCGGCCATACCCCCGCTCGTTGCTTTCGTCGCCTAGACGACCTGTTTTGTCTCCGCTTCAGCCCGTCGCCTGACCTCCCTGACTGGCACAGTCTGCTCCGTCTTCGTGTTCAGATCTTTGATATGGACATGGATGAGATTAGCTCTGCTTTGTATGCGATGTATGTTGATGCCTCTAGTGTGACTAGTTCCTATTACCCTGTGTTGCCTAGCGTAGGTGTGCCCAGTGTGCCTAGTTCAGGCTCCCCTGCTACGTCAGGCGTAGGATCCCCTGCCTTGATTAGCCTAGGGTCCTCCCTCACTCCCCCGACCTCTGTCGCCGCTCCCGCGCTCTCCTTCACCCTGGACTCCGGCACTTCCCGGTGTCTCTTACATGACTCCACGACACTTACGCCGCTTCCCGCTCCTGCTGCAGCTGCTCTTGCAGACCCTTCCTAGGCTGCAGTTTCTGCAGTTTCTCGTACCTCCATGATCCATGCTGGTGCACTCCATTTTCTGTGGCCGTTCGTCGTTCGCTACGCCGCTCACCAGCTTAACCTCTGGCCGCACCCTCAGCGGTCGCACGTTTCGCCAACCCTCCTTTGGACCGGGTCCCCTGGTGATGCGTCTGCACTCCACGACTAGGGCTGCCTTGCTCACGTTCGTGCCTCTGGCAGGACAAGCTTACTGCCCGCACTATCCCCTGTGTGTTCCTCGGTTTCCCCCTCGACTCGTCGGACTGGCAGTTCTACCACCCGCCTTCACACCGGTTCTTTCACTAACGTGACGTCACTTTTGACGAGTCCGTCTCCTTCTACCACTGCTTTCTCCAACGTAGTCCCTCGGTCACTCCCCCCCAGTTCCTGGTGCCCCCCCCTCCCCCGATCGCCCCTGTCCACCCCCCTCCCCGCACTGCCCCGTCTGGTGTGTCTCACGTCACCCCCCTCCCATCGGTTGTCACTGTAGAGGAGTCCGCTGACTCTCGCGGCTCGGCGGAGTCTCTTCCCCCGCTTGTCCCTGCCCCGATCTCGCCTCCCCTGTCGCCGCCGCTACTGTCCCAGCCACAGCCGCCTCCGCCGCTGCCGCCACAGCCGCAGCCGCCGTCATCACCGCCGCTCGGGTTCGTGCGTTCTGGGGGTGCTGGGGAGCGGGATGGAGCTGGTTCTGGAGTGGGCTCTGGGGGTGCTGGCGTGGGGCTTCTCGGAGGGAGCCGTGTTGCTGCTGGAGCATCTGGTTTTGGAGTCGGGCAGCAGTCGCAGCTGTCGCCGCCGGTGTCCGCTCTTCGCCTCCTCGGTCTTCCTTCCCCTGACCGCCCGTCGTTGCCTCCCCCGTTGCCGCCGCCTCCTCCTCTGCCGGACCACGGCCCCGTGTTTCCTCCCACGTACTCCTCTCCGGCTCGTTTCCCTCCCCGTTCTCCTCCTATGTCTCCTCCCCTCTCTCTTGATCCGACTCCTCCGTCTCACATCTGGTCTTGTAGTCCGTCTCGTGCTCGTCCTACCTCCCCTGTTCCGCGTTCTCACCCTATGCTGCTTCGCTCTCACGCGTCTCGTGCTCCTCCTCTCCTCCCGTCTCCTCCTCCGTCGCCGCTTGCTGTGGCCCAGCCTCCGTTCTCGGACTTCCTCCGTGCTGCGCGTCCCCTTGTTCCTCGTGTCCTTGCCTCTCTCGTTACCGACCCGTCCGTTCCTGTCTCGAGTCTGGAAGCTCTTGCCGCTGCTGTCACTGACTTCGCCGCTGCCCGCCGCCTGGACTACGCCACCGCTCTGGTCTCTGACCCTGCCTGTCCTCCGACCGTCGGGGGTGTGGCTTCTCTTGGCAGTGACGTCCTAGAGGATAGGCAATTCGAGCTCGCTTTCCTATCTGAGGCCGCTCCCCATCTCTGTTCCATGCTACTAGTCCCTGAGGGTGACCCAGACGCCCTCAACATCCCGACCCCTCGCACCTACGCTGAGGCCACCTCGAGACCCTGGGCCTCTCGGTGGATAGCTGCCATGGAGCAGGAGATGGCATCTTGGAGATCCACCGGTACCTTCGTCGACGTAGTTCCCCCACCTGGGGTGAACGTAGTCGATGGCCGGTGGCTCTTTAAGGTGAAGCGCCCTCCTAGAGAGCCGCCTGTCTTCAAGGCACGCTACGTCGCTCGAGGCTTCAGTCAGCGTGAGGGGGTGGACTTCTTTCAGACCTTCGCCTCGACCCCGAAGATGACCACTCTTCGGCCGCTGCTACACGTAGCAGCACAGCGTGACTACGAACTGCACTCCCTCGAATTCTCCACAGCTTTCCTCCAGGGCAGTCTACACGAGCAGTTCTACCTGCGCCGCCCCCAGGGCTTCTCTTCTGCCTTTCCCCCTAGCACCGAATGGCTCCTCCGGTGCCCCGACTACGGCTCGCGACCGGCGCCCCATTAGTGGCACGACACGCTGCGTGCTACACTTGCTGACTTGCAATTCTTCCCTTCGTCTGCACACCCCTCCCTCTTTCTCCGTTCCGGCCAGACTCCGTTCTACATCCTTGTCTATGTAGACGATTTGGTCTTTGCTACTGCAGATAGAGACGCACTGGCCGCCGTGAAGGCCGAGCTGCTGAGGAGACACACCTGCACTGACCTAGGAGAGCTGCGCCACTACCTTGGCTTGCAGATCTCCAGGGACAGAGCAGCGCGCACCATCACTCTCTCACAGTCACACTTGGTGCGCCAGGTCCTTCAGAGGTTCGGCCTTCAGTTTTCTTCCGCACATCCCATCCCTCTTTCAGTAGACCACAGACTCTCTGCCCAAGTCCCTGAGGAGGCTTTAGAGCCTAGTGGTCCCTACGTAGAGCTGGTGGGTTGCCTCATGTACCTGATGACTTGCACTCGCCCAGATCTCGCATACCCTCTCAGCATCCTGGCTCGCTTTGTGGCCCTAGGCAGACACCGACCACAGCACTGGTCGGCAGCTAAGAGGGTTTCGCGTTATCTAGCAAGTACATCAGGCATGTGGCTAGTGCTAGGAGGACGGATACCAGTGGTCCTTACCGGGCACACAGAAGCTTCTTGGGCAGACGACGCCGAGACTCTCAGGTCCTCACAAGGCTACTCCTTTAGCCTAGGTGGAGGTGCCATCTCGTGGAGGTCTACATGTTCCTCATCTGTTGCCTAGTCTAGCTGTGAGGCTGAGATCTACGCAGGTGCCATGGCGGCATAAGAGCTCCATTGGCTGACCTTCGTGCTCACCGACCTGGGTGAGCGGCCTAGCTCTGCCCCGGTTCTGTACGCTGACAACAGGGCCATAATCCTCCTGTGTCAGGAGCCACAACTTGAGGGCAGAGCGAAGCACATCCAGCTGCGGTACTTCCTCCTGCACGAGCTGCAGCAGCGTCGCCAGGCTCGTGTAGTACACTTGGCCTCATGTGCCAACAGAGCTGATATCTTAACTAAGGCGCTTGCGCGTAAATATCATCAGCGGCACTGTGTACAGCTAGGTCTCGTTCCTGTAGCCTCTCACTTGCTAGGACCGTGATTGTGTACAGACCTTTATATATATTACCTAGCCTGGCCTTGTGGCCTCTTCCCAGTGGCTGGACTAGTAGTGCCATCTTGGTCTTGCTCTTGCCTTGTCTGTACTTGTTTGACTGGTCTTTAGAACCCTGCCTCAGAGGCTGGACTAGTAGTGCCACCTTGAGTCGTTTCTCTCTCATCGGGCACTGCCCCTATCCAGTCTAGGGGGTGAGTCAAACATTGTATGTTTCTGTAGACTATATAGGGTTGTGCCTTAGGGAGTACCATCCATAAGATTATATTCCATTGTATGCCTTGTTCTAGACATTCTTTCACTTGAACAATATAAACATATACAAATATATATGTTGACACCCTGGTGGCTGTGTAGTATAGTACACGATTGTGCAATAGCTATGGGCTTAGTTTTAGGGACTTTGTGGGGAAAAAAATTGTAAGATGTCACCAATTCTGTTTGTTCTTAGTGTAATATCACACCACCAAATGGACAAAAAATGATCGTTTCAAGCTGATTTGTAGAGAATATGCTCCTAAATTGCTTTGTTCAGCAAGTCTTGCATCTTCAATTGGATAATAATTAAGGTTTTTTTTGCTGGGAATAGGGAAAGAGCTAGCGCCTCCGCTAAAATCCAAACCCACATAAGATAGTGGCGAATATAAGTGAAATTCATGGAATAAGAAAAAAAAATCAGTCATTCTGGTCAAAAGAAGTCCGTTTTGAGGTATCATTGAATTGTATAGCGGATCTAGTTATTCAAATTATGCTCCTAGCTTGGTTATGTAGTATTGCATGTACCCCATATGAATTTAATGAAGGTTTTAGGAGGGGGGAAGGGGAAGGAGGTAGCGCCTCCGCTTTTTGCGGCAGGAAAACCATAACCACCTTGACAACAGCAGACGCGTTCGGTCAGTAGCTCTCGTCTCATCCATCGATCTGTTTCTTGAACGGTCAGGATACTGCGCCACCTCACCACTTCACCACCAATCAAAATGTTCCCTGCGCGTCTCATTTCTACTCAAGCCAAACCAAGCCAGCGTGTCAAATGTCTCGTGCATTCAACCGCACTGTATCGTTTTTTAACGCAGAGAAGAGTTTTATCTTTCACTGCACCTCTTCCTCCAATTAATGCTACATTGCTTTGATGGATTGGGAAGGAGTTTGACCAAGCGGAAGCAACCCCCGCCGCAATGCACGCAGGCCCGAGCCCAGAACTCACAGCGGCACAACCGTTGCGCGTTTGCTATGTCAACGCGTTGCTTGCTGCGCCTTGCATCGCAAGCTGCGCTCGCCGCTATGCCCCGCCCCGCCGGTGTGGCTGGTTCCCTTTCCACCAAGCAATGCAGGAAATACATTAGCGCGAAGGGGAAGAGCAGCAGAATCATGTCGAGCACCAAAACCGCTTGCTCTTCGAACATTCAACTGAGCACTGAACGCTCTCATAATTCCAAGTTTCCTCTTCGTGAAGACTAGGGAACGCACCATCTACACCAGATCAGTAGCTTATAGTTGGCGAGAACGTCAGACTCGAATTATCTTTAGCGGTGCACAGCAATTTCGCGCTGCACGCTGCAGATTGCACGCGCGTCGGAGGCCAATTTGAGAGCCACGCAGCACGACCGGACTGGCGCGATTCCTCCCCTCGAGATCATCATGAGCGCATTGGAGGCCCTCGCGTCGCCACGTCAGCCACCGTCCTTCGGCACGGTCGCGTCGTGGCGAAAGCTGCGAATCGTCGCGGCGACGGTGTTACTCGTGGTGCTCGTGCTTATGAGCTACTTCGGCCGCGGCTCAGCCTCGCGCGACTCGGAGACCGCCGGGCGGCGCGGAACGAGCGGAGCGACGATGGGGGCGATGATGCGGGGAACGACGGCGCAGCGTCGGCAGCTGGCGCGGCAGGGATTGATGTCCACCGGCGGTGGCGGTGGCGGCGCCGCAGCGAGCCCACTGCAAAAGATCCGTGACTGGGTGAGGCGATTCGGCAAGAAGCGGCGAAGCAAGAGGGCTTCTCGACTCGGCAAGCTCGTGGCAGGTACTAGTTTTTAGACTTTAGTTGACTTGGTTGATCTAGTTTAAGATTCAGAAACCTTCAGGGTCACGCGGCTGGCTGTACGATTATTGGTTGCCATTCGTGCGAGGTCACAAGTGGCCGATACGCATTACCAAGTCGTAATCCGCCCGTTCCCTTATCGCCTTCCCGTTCCTTGCCCGCCCCCGCCTATCCTCGCAGACCCCGGCCTGGGCCTTCCCCACCCCCGTTGCGACGCGCTAATGCCAAGGGAAGAGTTCAACCCCGCCACCCTCTCCCCCTGTCCCTCCCGGCTCTCCCCCGTCTCTCCCCGCTCCCCCACTTACGGTTCCCCTCTCCGCTTTCCCCGCCTATCCCCGCAGACCCCGGGCTGGGCCTTCCCCCACCGCGTCGCGACGTGCTGATGCAGAGGGAGGAGTTCAACCCCGTGTCGCGATACCTCTCCACGGGGCTCTCCGTGGACGCCGCTACAGGCGCCGCGTCGTGGTCCGTGGAAGCCGGCGACGTGGACCACCGATGGATGTACGGGATCGCGCAGAGCCAAGGCAACTGCGGTAAGAACGGGTTCGATATTCGTCACAGTGTGAATGCGGTTTCGTAAAAACTGTTCGATTTGATAGACGGGAATCGGGGGTTCACTTCAATATATGTCATATTTTCTCCCGTTCTTGCAATTCCCCTCCGAATTACTATTCAGCGTCATGTTGGGCTACATCGGTAGCGGATGCAGTTCAAGGCGCGTACGGACTCTTCTCCGCTTCCTCATCCTCAACCTCGTTTGAAGACTCCTCGCCACCCGTTTACCACCGCTTCATGTCGCTCTCCACGCAGCAGCTCGTGGATTGCGCGGGTGCGGGCGCCACGTGCGCGGGTGGTTACCCGGAAGACGGGTTACAGTACGTGGCGAAGAACAAGCTGCAGTACAACTTCACCTACCTGTACACGGGCGCGGGGGGAAAGTGTAACGCGAGCCCCCAGAAGGTGAGAGATGAAACGGTGAGAGATGGAACGGTGGGAGATGAAACGGATGGTGAACTGAGTCTGGAAGCAGACGGTGGGATATAATACGGACAGTGGAAGTGGGCGTCGTCCCTTCTCAGTCCTCCCTCCTCACTCCTCCCTTCTCACTCCTCCCTGCCCAATTTCTCACTCCTTCTCACTTTCTCACTCCTCGCTTCTCTCTCCTCCCTTCTCACTCCTCTCGTCGCCCACCGAGCGATTCGGTGTGTCAATCAAGCAGTACGAGCAGGTGCCTCTGTCAGGGACCGTCAGGCTGTGGGCCCCTTTTCTCGACATTCGCTCATGCCTTGCACCATCTGTCTCTCCCCCTCCTCCCATCGCCCCTCGCCCCTCCACCCCAGAGCGAGTCGGTGCCGCCAATCTAGCAGTGCGAGCAGGCGCCTCTCCTGGAACTCATGCTCCACCCTGATCCCTTGTACCCCCCTCTCTTCCCCCCCTCCATTGCCTTCAGAGCGAGCAGTGCCGCCAATCAGGCAGTGCGAGCAGGCGCCTCTGCCGGGATTTGGCCCCTGTCAGCGTCTCGTTCAACTTCGATCTTTCTCCCTTCTCCCTCCTCCCGTCGCCCACCACCCCAGGCCGAGGCAGTGCCGCCCATCAAGCAGTACGAGCAGGTGCCTCTGCCAGGATTCCTAGGGCTCATGCTGGCGCTGCAGAGGCAACCCGTTATAGTCACGCTCCGCGCTTCAAGCGAAGACTTCATTACCTACAGGGTGAGTTAGCAATTTGGGGTTACAATCATACTCCACCTCACTGCACCACACTGCACCTCACGTTGCTCTTTTGGATAATCCCTCAGATGACACTAAAGGAACCCTCCCCTCCCCTTGCTCATTCCACTCACTCCCCCCCTACCAGGAGGGCATATACGATAACGACGCGTGCTACAACGCGGACACACCAGCCAACGAGCAGCAGCCGCAGGAGGGAACAGCAGGCAACCTAGAAACCTCAAACCCAGACTCCAAATACACAGCCCAAGCCCTTCCCACCGACTACGGCTACGGTGACACCAACAGCAGTGGCAGCGTCGGAATACCCAATGGTGGCACAAACCCTAGCCTCCCCGAGCCGACTGTAACGGCGAACCTGATCGACCACGTGATGCTGGCCGTGGGGTACCACTTTGAGGGGGTGGGGTCGGAAGGGAACTACTTTATCCTGAGGAACAGCTGGGGCGAGCAGTGGGGGGAGATGGGGTACATGAGGATCAAGATGGGGAATCCGCCGTTCGGCACGTGCGGCATGCTGGTGCAACGAGGGCTCTACCCCGTGCTGGCTGGTGAGAAACCCTGAGCCCCAAATCCTTAAACCTAGCTTTCTAGGCTAGGCAGCTGGTGCAGCGGGTGCAGCGGGTGCAGCGGGTGCAGCGGGTGCAGCTGGTGCAGCGGGTGCAGCGGGTGCAGCGGGAGAGGCTGGGAACCTAGAGGCACCTTGAGGCACCTAAGGCTTAGAGTGCAATGGGTGCTGTACCCCGCGCTGAAAGCCCACACTCTAAGCCTTAGGACCCATGGGATGCTGCATGCCGTGGTGCATGGGATGCTGCATGCCGTGGTGCATGGGATGCTGCATGCCGTGGTGCATGGGATGCTGCATGCCGTGGTGCATGGGATGCTGCATGCCGTGGTGCATGGGATGCTGCATGCCGTGGTGCATGGGATGCTGCATGCCGTGGTGCATGGGATGCTGCATGCCGTGGTGCATGGGATGCTGCATGCCGTGGTGCATGGGATGGTGCATGCCGTGGTGCATGGGATGGTGCATGCCGTGGTGCATGGGATGGTGCACGGTGCACTTCTTGGTGGATGATGCTTAACCTTCGATTCTTTTAAAACCCACCCACTCCACCCATGCCACGTGGCAGATGCCGTGCTGCCCAGTCCGTGTGAGGCCAACGCGTGTGGCGGAGGCGTATGCGTTCCCTCCCCCGCGGGCACCGGAAAGTACGTATGCGCATGCACATGCACTTCTATGCACATGTATGGACATGCACACATGCTCATGCGGAGGCGCGTCGACGCCCGACCCTGCAGGCACCGGAAAGTTTGTGTGCTCGCGCCTTCTGCCTCTGTGCAACCCATGCAGATGCACATGTCCATGCTCTGCACGCGAGCAAGAATCTGCACGCATGGGCCAAATTCGATGGCCAATGTCAGGCCTTCCTAGGATTCATTGACACGGAGTGAGCTGACACGGAGTGAGCTGACACGGAGTGAGCTGACACGGAGTGAGCTGACACGGAGTGTGACACTAGCCCCGGAGTGTACCCTGACGCCTTTCTGTGTTTCCTCTGGCATGCCATCTCTCCGTCAACTCGTGCGGCCTGCTGCCCTCTCACGCCTCTCTCCCCTCTCCCTCTCTCTGTTTCCTCTGCTTCCCCTTCCATGCCCCACCCACAGGTACTCATGCTTATGCGCCGAGCCACTGGTAGCAGCCAAGAACCGGGACGGCACCGACACCTGTGTGCCCGTCAACGTGTGCGGGCTGCTCCCCTCTGACCCCTGCGGCGTGGGCAAGTGCATCAACAGCGGCGACGGCGGCTACTCCTGCCTCTGCCCGCCCAACTACGCCCCCAGCCAGCTGGCCTCGGGACAGACCACCTGCGCTCCTGGTAAGCAAGATTGACAGTGCGGATTATAGAAACAAAACCTCACAGACCCCCTGTGCTCCAGGTGTGTGGGCTGCCACTGCTGGCTGGCCTCGTTGCCCTCCGATCCGTGCAGCGTGGGCACTGCGTTTCACTGGCTACGTCGGCTACTCCTGCCTATGCCCACCCAACTATACTCCCAGCCAGCTGGCCGCGGCACAATAGCACACGTGTTCCTGGTACGGTCAGTGGGGTGGAGTCTCGCACGGCAAGTGCTTGAGGTGACGCGAGCTACAATCTATCGGCAAAGCCGTTGCACTCACAACGACCTGCCCCCCTTGCCTTCTAATGATCACCCTGCACTCCATCGCACTCCATCGCACTCCATCGCACTCCATCGCAGTCCTCTGCTCTCCTGTGCACTCCTGTGGTCTCCCTTGCTCTCCCTAGCACTCTCTTTTCCTTCAGCATCCAGCACCGCCAGGGCAGCGCACGTGGTGTGGGGTGGGGAGTCGTGCATTCTCGTTCACCCACTGCCTTCCACTCTCCGTATCCATTGGTGCCTTCCGCCCCTTCCTCACAGCATCCAGCCCTGCCGGGGCAACGTACGTGGTGCGGGGATGGGAGACGCGCGCTACCCTGCCCATTGCCCATGCCCAATGCCTACTGCCCCTTGCCATTCTGTGTGCCTGTGCTCTACTTCCCTGCAGGGAGCAGCCCTGCCGGGGCGACATACGTGGTGCGGGGAGGCGAGACGTGCAAGGACATCTGGACGTTCATGGGGCTGTCGGAGGATCTGCTGGCGGCGCAGAACAAGGTGAGGGGCTGACGGCGCAGAAAAGGGAGGCATGGATTCTGACGGAGCGAAGGGATGCAGCGACATACTCGCCCACCTACCTACCTACCTACCTACCTACCTACCTACCTACCTACCTACCCACATGCAGGAGGACACCTGGACGTTCATGAGGCTGTCGGAGGATCTGCTGACGTGTCTTAAATCTCACCCCCTCCCTTCCACCCTCCTACCCCCAACTACCAACAGGGCCTGGACTGCAGCAACCTGAGGAAGGGGCAGAGCATCAACGTGGCCCAGCCTGCCAGCAACCAGATCTGTCGCACTCGATACACCGCCATGCAGGTAGGTGAAGTGCGGTTCATATGTTACGTGTAATATGTGTGTACATAAATGTGTTGTATACGTGTATGCGTATACGTCTGTACATACATGCATCACATGTTATTATCCGCTTCTTTCTCTCCTTCACTCTTTCTCTTACAACTCTGTTCCTCACCCCTCTTCGTCCATCCCTCCCCACCCTACCCCATGCCATCCCTATTCCTCATCATCCCATCCCCCCCACCAGGAGGATGTGGTCTCCGGTGGTTGCGAGAACATCAACGCTCGCTTTTGCATTGTGTCTGGCCTGGCACCTTAAAATTGCATCCATCTCACCCCAACCCACCGCACGGCACCGCACTGTACCCCATCCCAACCTACCCAATCCCTTCTCATCCCCCCCCAACCAGGAGGATGTGGTCTCCGAGAGTTGTGACTACATAAACTCACGCTTTAGCATCGATGCTGCTCAGATGAACCCGGGGCTGGACTGCTCGCAGCTGGTAGCCGGGCAGCAGGTGAGAGAACTGAGACTAGCAGTGGCAGCAGGGGAGGGCGAACAGGGATGAGGTTTGCCCATAGATGCAGCTCCGATCAACCCGGGGCTGGACTGCTCCCAGCTGGTATGCCGGCAGCAGGTGAGAGGGGTGGGGCATGCTGGTAGCAGGTGAGGGGGGTGGGGCATGCTGGTAGCAGGTGAGAGGGGCGGAATGGGGGTAACAACTGCGAGGTGTGCCAGTACAAGCCAGCAATCCCGATACCTCGAACCACCATCAGATACTCACCAGCCCCTCCTGCCAACCCCGCCCATGCAAAGCGGCCGTTTCAGGACCCCAGGAATACAAGCTGTGCGCGCAGTACACGCCAGTGGTGTCCTATACACCTACAGACCCATCCGCCTGGTGGGCAGCTCCCAGTGTTATCCCTCTGTTCCTCCCCCCCATCCCTCTGTTCCTCCCCCCCATCCCTCTGTTCCTCCCCCCCATCCCTCTGTTCCTCCCCCCCATCCCTCTGTTCCTCCCCCCCATCCCTCTGTTCCTCCCCCCCATCCCTCTGTTCCTCCCCCCCATCCCTCTGTCCCTCCCCCCCATCCCTCTGTCCCTCCCCCCCATCCCTCTGTTCCTCCCCCCCATCCCTCTGTCCCTCCCCCCCACGCTGCTCATCTGCACATCAGTCGGTGACATGACCGGAACAGCCGACCACCAGCTGTGCATGGAGTACATTCTGGCCCCTCTCCCTCCCTTGCTCCAGATCTGCGTGGCAGTGGGTGATGCAGTGATGCAGTGATGCAGTCACAGCAGCACGGAGCACACCCCACCTCAGGCATGTCCCTCGGGACCTCCTGACCCTGCTTGCTTCCAAACTCCCTGTATTCTCCCTGTATTCTCCCTGTATTCTCCCTCCCTCACACTGCAGATCTGCATAGCAGTGGGAGACGTGGTGACAGGCGCCCAGGACTACGAGCTGTGCACGGAGTACACGCCAGTCGTGCCGCTGGGCACCTCCACGCCGCCCACGTGCTCCGAGCTGGTGGATGCCTATCTTGGCGGCTCCTGGCTCAAGCTTTTCAGCCTCAACCCAGGGCTGCGCTGCGACAGCTTGGAGCAGCTGACGCTCATGGGGCAGGAGGTGAGGATGACTGTAACGGGCATAGCTGTAGACATGCCCTCTCATGTTCTAGCTTACCGCAGGGGTCAGATGCCACAGCATGCAACAGCTAACGCTCATGGGGCGGGAGGTGAGTCATTGTGAGACACGAATTGACATTGTTCCTCACTCAGTACTATCCACTCATCCCCCTCCTCCCCTTGTGTCACGTTCCTTGCAATCATGGATCTGCACACGGGGCATGCCGCTAAGAGCGAAGCCATGCGGCAAGGGCAGGTCTGCAGCGGTCAAATAGCTCGAACCACAACTGTCTAAAGTCTGCAAACCCACAGCATTCTTTCTTTCAACTGTCGCACAACCCACCTCCCTGCCCCTCTTCCCCCTTCCCCCTTTCCTCTCCCTTGCAATCACAGATCTGCACGAGGGGCACGCCGCTAGGAGCGGTGCCGTGCGGCAAGGGCAGGTCGGCGACGGTTCCCAACAAGGCGTACTATGTGCGCAGGGGGGACACCTGCTCCTCCATTATTGCCTTGCAGTTCAAGATGAAGTCCAGCCTGGTCTCCCAGCTCAACCTGGGATGGGTCTGCCGCTCCCAGGGCCTCTACAATGGCCTTGGACTCTGTGTACCCATGTAGCAATTAGGGCATGGCCTCTAGTGGATAGATCCATAGCACTCTGCGAATAACGAGGTGACTTTTGAGTCGACTCAAATGGCATGGCCTCATAGCGGATAGATGCATAGCACAATGTGAATAACCTGGGATGGATTTGCCGCACGCAGGGCTTAAAGAAGGGCCTTGCGCTCTGCGTTTCGACACAATTACGGCATGGCCTCATAACAAATATGGGTTGTAGGATTGTGCTAATGGCGGCGCTGGTGGTGGGTTCTTTCTCTGCGTATTGTAGCATTGTTGAAGCTTATATATGAGTCTTCTTTCCTCAGTGTACATCAGCTCCATCAAAATTTGTGTTGCTCAACAAGCTGTTGTATCTCACAATTATGTGTACCAAGCAGCCCTGTTGTAGTCTTCGTACACCTAGTAGCAGAAATCTCTTAGGCAGATCAATAGGAGCATAGCAGAGGAGTGGATGAGGGGAGTTTGTTTGGGGTCAGGTTGTGGTGTGAGACAAGGTTGATGGCTGGGCTGAGATATCAAACAGTGAAATTGATGAATGGAAGATGAGAGTACACAAACATATATCTAACTGTTGTACTCTCTAGAAGATGACCCTATACAGTCTATACAAGCATGATAACTAAACATGTTTGACACACCCCCTGGACTGCATAGGGGAATGTTCTAGACAAGCAGCTCAGGGTGGCACTACTAGTCCAGCCTCTGAGACAAGGGTCTAAAAGACCAGTCAGAAGGAGTACAGGCAAGGCAAGAACTAGTACAGGGCGGCACTACTAGTCCAACCACTGTAAGAGGACACAAGTCCAGTCTGAGTGTACACACAGATATATAGGACAGTACAGAGTCAAGGCCCGAGTAAGTGAGAGACTACAGGAACCAGACCAAGCTGCACACAGTGCCGCTGATGATCTTTAGGCGCAAGCGCCTTCGTAAAGATATCAGCTGTGTTGGCACCGGAGGCTAAGTGTACTACGCGAGCCTGGCGACGCTGCTGTAGCTCACGCAGGAGGAAGTACCGCAGCTGGATGTGCTTCGCTCTGCCCTCGAGTCGAGGCTCCTGACACAGGAGAATCATGGCCCTGTTGTCAGCGTACAGGACCGGGGCAGAGCTAGGCCGCTCACCTAAGTCAGTGAGCAAGAAGGTCAGCCAGCGGAGCTCCTGTGCCGCCATGGCACCGGCGTAGATCTCGGCCTCACAGCTGGACTGGGCAACAGACGAAGAGCGGGTAGCTCTCCACGAGAGAGCACCTGAACCAAGGCTAAAGCAGTAGCCCTGGGAAGACCTGAGCGTCTCGGCGTCGTCTGCCCAAGAAGCGTCTGTGTGTCCAGTAAGGACCACTGGCCTGCGTCCGCCTAGCACTAACCCCATGCCCGATGTACTTGCAAGATAACGCAAAACCCTCTTAGCGGCAGACCAGTGCTGAGGTCGGTGTCTGCCTGTGGCCACGAAACGAGCCAGGATGCTGAGAGGGTATGCGAGATCTGGGCGAGTGCAAGTCATCAGGTACATGAGGCAACCCACTAGCTCAGCGTAAGGACCACTGGGATCTACCGACTCCTCAGGAACTGGAGCGGAGAGTCTGTGGTCCAGAGGAAGAGGGGTGGGCTGTGCGGAGGAGAACTGAAGGCCGAACCTCTGAAGGACCTGGCGCACCAAGTGTGACTGAGTCAGGGTGATGGTGCGCGCGGCTCTGTCCCTGGAGATCTGCAAGCCAAGGTAACGGCGCAGCTCTCCAAGGTCAGTGCAGGTGTGTCTCTTCAGCAGCTCTGCCTTCACGGAGGCCAGTGCGTCCCTGTCAGCAGTGGCAAAGACCAGGTCGTCTACGTAGACGAGGATGTAGAACGGAGTCGAGCCAGCACGAACGAAGAGCGAGGGGTCTGCAGAGGACGGAAAGAACTGCAGGTCAGCAAGGGTAGCACGCAAAGTGTCGTGCCACTCACGAGGCGCCTGGCGCAGGCCGTAGACTGGCCGCCGCAGAAGCCACTGGGTACCAGGGGGGAAGGTGCCAGTAAAGCCCTGAGGGCGACGCAGGTAGACCTGCTCGTGAAGGCTGCCCTGAAGGAAGGCAGTGGAGAAGTCGAGGGAGTGAAGCTCGTAGTCACGCTGAGCCGCTACGTGTAGCAGCACCCGAAGAGTAGTCATCTTCGGGGTAGGAGCGAAAGTCTGAAAGAAGTCCACCCCCTCGCGCTGACTGAAGCCTCTAGCCACGTAGCGCGCCTTGAAGACAGGCGGCTCTCCAGGAGGGCGCTTCACCTTGAAGAGCCAGCGGCCATCGACCACGTTCACCCCAGGTGGGGGAACTGCGTCGACGAAGGTGCCGGTGGATCTCCAAGATGCCATCTCCTGCTCCATGGCAGCTATCCACGGAGAGGCCCAGGGTCCCGAAACCGCCTCAGCGTAAGTACGAGGGGTCGGGATGTCGAAAGCGTCTGGGTCACCCTCAGGGACTAGCAGCATGGAACAGAGATGGGGAGCAGCCTCGGACAGGAAAGCAAGCTCAAACTGGCGGTCCTCCAGGACGTCACTGCCGAGGGCAGGAGCACCCCCGACAGACGGAGGACAGGCAGGGTCGGAGACCAGAGCGGTAGCGTAGTCAAGGCGGCGGGTAGAGGCGAAGTCAGCGACCGCAGCGACAAGGGCGTCAAGACTCGACACTGGAACAGACGGGTCGGTAACGAGAGAGGCAAGGACCCGAGGAACAAGAGGACGAGCGGCACGAAAGTAGTCAGACAGAGGAGGAGACGCAACGACAAGAGAGGACGGAGGAGGAGACGGGAGGAGGGGAGGACGAGACGCGTGGGAGCGGAGCAACATAGGGTGAGTGCGCGGGACGGGGGAGACAGGACGAGCACGGGAGGGGCGGCGAGACCAGACGTGAGAGGGCGGCGTCGGGTCGGGAGACAGAGGAGGGGACACGGGTGGGGAACGAGGGGGAAAACGAGCCGGGGACGAGTCCGGCGGAGGGAACACGGGGCCGTAGACGGGAAGAGGGGGAGACGGCCGGAGAGGAACAGGCGCAGGGTCAGGAGACGGAAGGCCGAGCAGACGGAGGGCGGACACAGGCGGGGACTGCTGCTGCGGCGACACAACACCAACACCACGGCCACAAGCTGCGCGACGGCTACCTCCCGAACCCTCCACACCTGCACCCCCAGAAGGGACACCCCCAGAGTCCACAAACGGCGGCAGCGACGACAGCGGCGGCGGCGGCGGCGGCTGCAGCGACGGCTGCGACGGCGGCGGCGGCGGAGACGACGGCTGCAACGGCGGCGGCGGTGGAGACGACGGCTGCAGCAGCTGCGGCGACGGCGGCTGCGGAGGCGGTGGAGGAGGAGACACCGGGGGAGGGACAGACGGCGAGGACTGCGCCGGGGGACTACCAGAGTCAGAAGACTCGTCGACCGGGACGACCGACGGGAGGGGGGTGACGTGAGACACACCAGAGGGGGCCGGACGGGGGGGCGGGGGGGGGGAGGGGCAGGGACCACCAGGGAGGGAGGAACCAGGAAAAGGGGGGGAGTAACCGGGGGACCACGGTGAGGAAAGCGGCGGTAGAAGGAGACGGACTCGTCAAATGTGACGTCGCGAGAGTGAAAGAAGCGGTGAGACGGCGGGTGGTAGAAGTGCCAGTCGGACGCGTCAAGGGGGAAACCGAGGAAGACGCAGGGGAGGGTGCGGGCAGTGAGCTTGTCCGTGCCAGAGGCACGAACGTGAGCAAGGCAGCCCCAGACGCGGAACGCAGACGCGTCACCAGGGGACCCGGTCCACAGAAGGGTCGGCGAAACCTGCGGCCGCTGGGGGTGCGGCCACAGGTTAAGCTGGTGAGCGGCGTAGCGCACGGCGAACGGCCACAGAAAATGGGGTGCACCGGCGTGGATCATGGAGGTGCGAGCCACCTCCATGACCAAACCGATGCGTCGCTCAGCGACCCCATTCTGCTGCGGGGAGTCCGGCAGGGTAAACGTCTGGGTGATGCCCTCCGCACGACAGAAGCGACCAAGGACACCTGAGGCAAACTCGCCACCCCGGTCGGAGTGAAGGCGCAAGGCAGGGAGACCGCGGTGGACACGAGCAGAGACAAGCCAGGGGATGAGAACGTCAGGCACGTCGGCCTTCCGCTCCAGGGGGAAGACGGTGGTGTAGCGCGTGAAGTCGTCGACAAGCACTAGGAAGAAGCGCTCGCGACGCGGCCCATGGACCGGGGCTGGGCCCCAGACGTCCATGTGCAGAGTCTGCAGTGGTGCGGTGGTAGGGGGAAAAGAGGAGGAGTGAGGGGCACGGCGGAGCCGGCCCTCGACACAAGGCGTGCACGGTGGGGCGGGGGAGGAGGGAAACTCGGGGAACGAACCGGGGAGACCAAGGACGAGACCGTGCTGGGACATGTGACGCAGACGTGGGAGTGCAGGGTGACCAAGGCGGTGGTGCCAAAGGAGAGTCGGGTGAGTGAGGGACCGACAGGAGCACGCGGCTGCAACCTGGGTGGACGCAGCTACCGGGGGGGAAGACCCAGACGGGGACGGCGCGGTGTCAAGTGTGAACAGGCCGGACACCGGGTCCCGGGGGAAAGTGGTAAGGGGGGCACCAGTGGCGGCCTCGGTACAGACAGCATACCGCTCGTGACCAGGGAACGTAGTGGTGACGCCAAGGTCCTGGAGGCAGCCGACACCAACTAGGTTCCTGGAGAACGAGGGGATATGCAGACCTGTGAGAGTGCCCGAAGGAACCGCCGGACAGGGAAGGGAGGTGGAACTGCGGGCAACGACGGGACCACCGGAGGGGTCAGCAAGAGTAACTGCAGCGGGAACAGGCAGCGGCGTCAGCGTCGTGGAGTCGCGGAAGAAACACCGGGAGGCGCCAGAGTCCAAGGTGAAGGAAAGCGCAGCAGTCGCGCGAGGCAGCAGTGAAGCGGTGGAAGCACCAAGGCTAAGCAAAGCAGGAGATCCTACGCCTGACGCAGCAGGGGAGTCTACGCTAGGCACCGCTACACTAGGCAACACGGGGTAATAAGAGGGAAGCACACTAGAGTCATCAGCATACATCACATGCAAGGCCGCTACAATGGCATCCATGTCCAAGTCAAAAATCCTAATGCTACGCCTAAGCAAGCTGTGCCAGTCCGGGAGGTCGGGCGCCGGGCCAAAGCGCTGGCGGAACAGGTCGTCCAGGCGACGAAAACAGCGAGGAGTAGAATGACCGATCTTACCGCAAACGAAGCCGCGGCGAGGACCGGTCTGGATCTGGTACTGACAGGGCCCGCCTCCAGAACCACCGCCCGGTG